CTGCATCGCCTTGCACCACCTTGCACCCACCGTGTACTGCTTTGCACCCGCTGCGCATCACCTTGCACCGCCTTGCACCCACCTTGCACTTACACACGCTTTGCGCTGCCTTGCGTCGCCTTGCACCCACCATGCACCACCTTGCACCCACCAAGCCTTGCCTTGCACCCATTTTGCACCTCCTGCACCCATTGCACACCCATCAGGTACCGCCTTGCACGTCCACCTAGCACCACCTTAGACCCACCAGACGCTGCCTTGCATCACCTCGCAGCCACCACGCACCCAGCGGGTGCTGCCCTGCACCCATCTTGCATCGCCTTGCACCCAGCAACACCGCCTCGCGCCCGACCTTGCGTGCTCCTGCATCACCTTGCAAGACCCTGCATCACCTTGCACTCGTCTTGAATGGTCTTGCACCCACCGTGCATGGTCCTGCATCACCTTGCGACCACCTTGCATGGTCCTGCACCCACCTTGCACCCACCTTGCGTGGTCCTGCACCCACCTTGTATGGTCCTGCATCACCTTGCAAGACCCTGCATCACCTTGCACCCACCTTGTATGGTCCTGCATCACCTTGCAAGACCCTGCATCACCTTGCACCCACCTCGCATGGTCCTGCATCATCTTGCACTCGCCGTGCATCACCTTGCATGGTCCTGCATCACCTTGCACCCTCCTTGCATGGTCCTGCACCCACCTTGTATGGTCCTGCATCACCTTGCACTTGCTGTGCATCACCTTGCACCCACCTTGCATGCTCCTGCACACACTTTGCATGGCCCTGCATCACCTTGCACCCACCTCGCATGGTCCTGCATCATCTTGCACTCGCCATGCATCACCTTGCAAGACCCTGCATCACCTTGCACCCTCCTTGCATGTCCCTGCACACACTTTGCATGGTCCCGCATCACCTTGCAACCACCTTGCATGGTCCTGCACCACCTTGTACCCACCTTGAATGGGCTAGCACCCACCTCGCATGGTCCTGCACCCACCTTGCACTTGCCATGCATCACCTTGCACCCACGGTGCATCACCGTGCGCCCACCTTGACCCCCCCCGCTCACCTTGGAGAGGCGAAAATCCACCAAAATCTTGCTCTCCATCTCCACCAGGTTCACCTTGAAGATGAGTTTGTTGTTCCTCCTGTCCGTGGTCGAGATGGTGACCTGCAAAACAGCAACAAAGCGGGGGATCCCCCAAATTATTTGCAGATGCAACAGCATGGGAGGGGGTGGGGGGTTCCCACCCCACGATTTTGCCCCCCAATCCTTACCTGGTTGGTGCAGCTCTTCTTCCAGCCGTACCCCATCTTCTCACAGACCTCTTTCAGGGCGCGGTAAGAGCCGTCGGCGTCCAGTTTGGTGAAGAAACGCGTCATCCGCTTCACCAGCCGCTGCCACGGGCTCTGCCGGCCCCAAAAACCGGTTGCAAAAGTTACAAATCCCGCAAAGTTGCAACCTCCAGCTCCGCAAAATCCCGGCCTTAAGAGGATTTGCAATAAATATCGCAAAGCTGCACCCCCGATGGCGAACGCTGCCGCTGGCATCTCCCAGGTTGCAAAGTTGCATGAGAAATATTGCAAACGTGCACCCCAAATATTATAAACACCGCAAAGCAGCATCCCCAGTCTTGCAGAGTTGCTTCCACAATGCAAAGTTGCAGCCCAAAGATGATAAATACTGCAAGGCTGGACCCTGAGGTTATAAATCGGACGCAAAACTGCATCCCAAACACTGCAGGATTGCATCCTGATAGTATAAAAGCTGCAAAGCTGCACCCTAAACATTGCAAAGTTGCGTCCTGACACTAAAACCGATGCAAAGCTGCACCCCAAATACTGCAAAGTTGCGCCCTGAGATGATTGAACCTTGCAAAGCCGCATCCCCAATATCGCAAACTTGCATCCCGAGGTGATCCAATATCGCAAAGCCGCTTCCCGATATCGCAAAGCTGCTCCCTAACGTTACAGATAGTGCAAAGTTACATCCCAAATACCGGGAAGTTGCACCCCAAATATTGCAAGGTTGCATCCCGAGATGACTGAACCTTGCAAAGCCGCATCCCGAAACAAAAAGCCTTGCAAAGCCGCACCCCCAGTATTGCAAAGCTGCATCCTGGTTATTATAAAACGCTGCAAAGTTGCACCCCAACTACTGCGACGGTGCACCCCGATACAAGAAATCCTGCAGAGCTGCACCCCAAATACCGCAAAGCGACGGCCCCCGTGCCGCACCTGGGAGGAGCCCGGGGTGCCGAGGAGCTGGCTGTTGACCAACATGTGCTCAGGGCAAGCGGGCTGGGAGAAGCTGATGCCCTGGACCAGTTTGTCGATGCTCGCCCCGCTCTCCCAGAGCGTCCCGCCGGTGCCGGGCTCCGGCTGCGAGGTGGAGTAGGTGGCTTTGTCCTCGCTGCGGTGCAAGGGGAGAGACGGATGTCAGGGACGTCAGCGCGAAGGAGAGATGGCAGGGATGGGGAAGGCGGAGGTATTCGTGCACGGGAATCGCGCCCCTCTGGGATTTTGCGGGGTTTCGGGTGATCGTCCGTACGCAGGGAGGGTAAACGGAGGTTTGTGCGGGGTTTCCGTCAAACCAACTCCCGGTGAAAACACCCGGAAAGCGACGTGCAAAGAATTGCAAAAGTGCAAAGCCTTGCACTGTGCGAAGCCTTGCCATGTATAAAGCCTGGCAGCGTGCAAAGCCTTGCACCATCAAAGCCCCGCGGCGTGCGAAGATGCAGGAAAGCTCCCGCTGGCACCGGCGCGACGAGC